CTTTGGAGAGGTTTCCCTAAGGTTTTATTAAGTGATTTTTTACACTGATTTATCTCCAATATCTATTGGGAAAAATTCCAGAGTTTTTTGCAAAACAGAAGAGGATGCATCAAATTCTTCCTTAGAAAGAAAATCTCTAAACAAGGGGCTAATAATATATTCCCAAGTTCAAGAGTAGCTCAGGAAAAGTCAAATTAGGCATTAACCATTTCTCTGGATTGCAACTTCAGTTAACATTGCAGTGGGTATCTACAGAATAATCATTGGGGTTTGACTTTTCCTTTCCCGCTGCAGTGACTGTGAAAACACTGTCTCTGTGTTGGCAGTGGAGGCATTGCTTTCAAAAGAAAGGAGATTTCCTGATGCTGCCAAGTGCCTAGAATGAGTTGGAGCTCTCCAAAACTGCCACTTTTCAGAGAATGCAGCACGTGGCCTGAGCAGGTGGGCAAGGTGAGGAGCTGGCTCTGGTGTGTGCCTCTCTCTGCTGTGAGCTGGGGCAGCTGGGGGGCCCTGGATCCCACACCAGGCACACTGGATTTGTTTTCCCTTTGTTTCACAGCTCTGTTTTCCCACCTGGCCGCACATTTTTATTTCTGGCCTTGGGGAAACTGAAGGGGAGGGGATGTGCTGGTGTGATCCTGAGCTTGAGCAGCAGGGACAAGCTCAGGGGCTGTAGCCAAGGGTAGGAGCTTGAAAGCATCCCCATGCTGGCACAGCTTTGCTCAGAAGCACAATTCTGATCCAATTATAGCATAATTTAACCTGAAAGGGACTTTTTGAAGGTCTCTAGTCCAACCTCAAGGTGCTCAAGGAAGAACTGACTTTCAGGTTAGGCTGGGGGTAGATCCCAGCTGTGTTCTGAGCTTCTGCAAGGATGGAGAGCCCACAGTCTCTACTACCCACTTGTCTGACCACCTGCACTGAGATTTATCTCTTTTTTTTTCTTACTTCATACACAATTTCCTTAGATCTGTCACTGTCACAATTGCTTCTTGTTTTGCTGCCCAGCTTTTGGAATTCTCCTGTTTCCTCTGGAAGTACCAGCAGGTAGATGCAGGCAGCAAAGACATCCCTGTTCAGAGCCTTTTCTCTCTATTTAATGTGCTTCCTCCCACATCACCCTGGTCATCTCCATTGGACTTGCAGCATTCTCACACACTGTTTAAAAATAGAACTGCACAGAAATAGGGATGTTTCCTAGTGCTGCTACAAAAAGGAGAAAGATGAGTTCCAACTGCCCAAAATATAGAATTCTCTTAATATAAAGATATGACTTTATTGAACCTCTAAAAGGAAAATGGCTCTTTACAAGTTTTCTACGAGAATCTGTATTTTAATGCAACCTTCTGTTCCAAAAAAAGTGAAAATTAAATTGGCAATGGATAAAAAAAAATAATAAAGATGCAAATAGCCAGAAATGCAGGGTTTAGAGTGAAGAATGAAGCCTTAAATCTTCCTTCCTGAACATAAATTGTGTATTCTATTATATAATTTTAAATTATTTGCCATTTTGAAAAGGGCTTCATGGAGCTATAAAAATTTATGTCATCTGACTATCTGGCTCAGATAGTTGTGAACTATCTACAACTGTTTTCCTGTCAAAAATTGCAGTACTTACAGTTCAGTTTAGTTGACTTCAGATTTATTTTTTCCTTGATGTAGGTCTACCATCAAAGTCAAGGCTGAAGGAAAAAAAAATTATTTAAAAATGTTTGTTCTTTATCAGCTTGTTGGCTTTCATCTGTTAACTGGGGAGATGTGAATGTGACTTGGAGACCTGGACACTGCCAATAGTTTGGGAGGAGAAATCTCTCTTGCATATGGCCTTTGTATCTGTGATGCCATTGGATGTTTTTGGGTTTTTTGTGGGGTGGGAATTGCTGAAAGCCATCACTTTTGATCATTAAGTACTTCTGGGGTTTTTTTTTACATCAAGAGTCACCATTAATTAATGTATTAGCTCAGTCTGCCTGAAACTCAGGTTGTTTTTTTGGGCTAAGCTGACAATCCCTGATTTTTTACCCAATTTCAGATGCATGGTGTTAACATCCAGAGGTTCCCTCAGTGATTCACAAGGGCTCAGGAGCTCTGCAGAGTCCAGGAGAGCAGGATCCTGCCTGGGGGCTGGGGAACATCTCCAGTCTCAGCAGGCAGCTGCCTCTCTCCAGGAAAAAGTGCTCTGAGCTTTGAAGGGTAAAATGACTAAAGATGAATGAATTTAATTCAAAGGGGGAAAAAAATGTGTTTATTCCAAGAAAGGTTTGGGTTTTTTCCTTTTAGTGAGTGTAATGGTGGTAAGTACTCCCAAAGGCATGTGGGCCCTCCCTCAGTGCCCCACCAGTACCAGCTGTTAACCATTGTAGCTTCTGTTTCACTCCAACTTAACCTTCTGGAATATCCAAAAACTCCAGCACACCAACCTCTGCTTTAAATAATTCATGTGTTTCTTGATAGACAAAAATCCTTTTCTACCTTCAGTTTATTTTAGACTGGACTAAAAGAGTGAAAGGAAAGAATGTGCCAAAAGAAATCATTATTTTACTTCATCAAAAAGCAAGAGTGGCATAGAAGAGAATTTGGCTTTGCTGAATGTTTAAATTATAATTTTAAGGACTGTCAGTAGTAGATTGAACTGGAATTGATGATTGACCACAAAATTCAGTATGTGTACTTTGATGTTAGCTATTGGGAAAAAAATCTGTGATGGTCCCATGTTTCAATTTAAAATTATGGAGATGGTTCTTAAATAAATGCAGAATCCATGAATAAATTGTGAATTATTTTTCTGGTACAGTGGTGTGCTTAGAAGACTGAAGCTGAAGGAATTAGTCACAAAGTTTTACCTTGAGGAGACTGAGGGATGCAGTGAAAAGGAAAACTGATGACTTCAAGCCAGGAATTGTGTAAAATAATAACAAGAATATTAGCAAAGCAGTAGAACAGTTAATTCAGAAGGTGGAGCCCAGGCTTGAGTATTCCTGTAATCAAATTCCCACGTGATTTTTCAAACTGAATATCTAAGATGCAAGAGAGAATGACTCTACTCACCATTTCAGTATACAGACCTGAGCAGTGATAAAAATAGACACTTTTAATTCAGAAGCCTTATCTTGGAGTTGTTTTTTGTGGTATGGTTTTGTCTGGGGGTTGTTGGTTTGATTTCAGGATCTAGAGTTAAATCATGTCCTGTCTATGATCCTTTGGCTGCCCAGTGTCTCCTTCAATGTGGAAAGATGATTTGGAAAAATTGTCATCACAGCTTTGAATTAAAAGCTGTGCTTTGAAAAAAATATTCTGAAGTTATTTAGAAACTTTCTAGAGACCTTTCTTTTTGTTTTTGAGACCAGCTAAGTTGGAAAAAATAAACGGTCCAGTGACCACTTGTTCATTCATCTGCATGTGCAGCTGCAAAATTATTTTCTGTGCTGTGCAAAACTTCTTCCTAAATATGAGGTTTAGAGACCCTCTGGGAGTAATTAACTACAATGCAGAAGCAAATCTGGGTTCATTGTATAAACTGCTCATTTAAGAAATATTTTTGTGCACAAAGCCCATTAACAAGGTTCCAAAACCTTCATGAATGTTAAACACTTTATTATAGGATTCTGAGCACTTCCTATTTGAATGAAATCTAGTGTAATCTCATGAATTACGTCTAGCTTTTGATACCTGGGTTGCTGTGTCAGATGTGTGCCGCAGTGCATTCAGCAGCTAAAATCTTTGATGTTGTTATTTGCTTAACAGTGATAGAACAGCTCTTTTCCTGTGGGCTGCACAGAAAGTTGAGGATGTGCTCATCCTTGAATGAAGCTGCCTGCTGTTGATTTTATCCTGCTTCCTGGTCCACTCCCATACCCCTGCTTGACTAAGTGCTTTCCCCCTGTGCTCCCAGCCCTGTGCTGCACGTGGCTGTCAGGAGCTTCACCCCAGTGCAGTGGAAGTGCAAAGCAGAGCTGCTGCCTCTCATCAGTTGTACAGGACTGGCAGGCAGAATTACTGAGTTGATTTAACCAGGACTGGGAGTACATGCCCTTAGCTTCAGTGGCTGCAGCCTGAAGTCAGGAGTACATTTAATTTACCAAATTAGCCCAATGCATGAGGCTGAAGGAGCTCGGAAGCAGCAGCATGATGATCTCTGGCTGGTGTTACATGGGCAGTCAGGGGTGGTAATCAGCCTTGCCCTCACTGTCAGCTCCTTTTTGAGGCAGCACAAATCATGTGAGATGCTGTGAGGAAATCTGATCCCACTGTGTGTGGGGTGAGGCTGTTGGGACAGTAGTCCTGAGCAGCAGGATTAGGTTTGCTGGCCTGGCTGTGTGCTTATGATCAGCAGGAAACAGTGGCACAAAAAATAGATGAAAAGCAGAAATAGGTGCTCAGCTTTTATGAAAGTTTGTCCTTTCTTTTCTCTTAGCTCTTTGTTTTTTCCAGAAGGATCATACAATGTGGCCTCATAATATTGCATCTCATCCACCATTCATTCATTTCCCAACAGAAACTGAATGACAGCATTTGTTATTGTAGAAGAGTTAATCATTAAGATCTGAGGGTTTTTACAACACCTTCATTTTACCTCAGAATATGTAAAATATATCCAAACCCTTCCATTTAAGGTGATGGATTACCCTGTGCTTGGCTGTGCTATCTGGATTGGTTGGAATTTTGTGCAATTACTATTTTACACAGCAGCAGAGTATCTGTGAAGTGGATATCAATTGAAACATATTTTGCTCTTCAGACTTGCTTTTTCAGGTTTCACAAAACATTTAATTAGTGATAATCAGCTTTTAACCAGCCAGAGCACACTGATGTGATTCCCTGCCTCTCTCCCCCATGATTGTAGGCATAGTCTGTACCCTTCAGATAAATTGCTTGCAGTCTGGAGACTGTCCTAGACAGCAGGAGGGGGAAGAATAAGGATGTCAGTTGCATGGGGAATAAAGAAGGTGTTGTGTTTACTGTGGTTTCAGTGAAGAATATCCTTTTCCTTTACTTTTCAGAATGGTGAACTTGGAAACCAGCTGGAGATTGCAAAGTCTCCTTTGCCTTGAGGTTGGTGGTCAATGGTCATCCTCTACCACACCCAAGGAAAGCAGAAGAGCTCCACTCTAACTTCTGTAAGGTCTCCTTCACTATGGAAGATCAAATGATTTTCTGGCTCAGGTTTTGTGATATTCGGCATCTGCCTTGGACCTGGAGTTTGGAAAAGGGATCGTCCCTGAGGCACGGCTGAGAGACAGAGCAACCAGCCCCAGACAATGAGCACTTTAAGTAGCACTGGAATATTGCTCAGCTTAACAACAGTGTCTGTTACACTGGATTTTAGTTTGCATGGTGGTCTGATGGCTTGGTCCTTAAGCAGCAATTTGACTCTGAACCAGAGTTTGCCTACGTCTGATCCTCTCAACACCTCTGAGAAGGGCGAAGTCTCTCGGATGTCCGTGAGGGAGAAGAATTGGCCGGCCCTCCTGATCCTGGTTGTCATCCTGCTGACCATTGGGGGGAACATATTGGTAATTATGGCTGTGTCCTTGGAGAAGAAGTTGCAGAATGCCACAAACTTCTTCCTGATGTCGCTGGCAGTAGCAGACATGCTGGTGGGTATCCTGGTCATGCCCGTGTCGCTCATTGCAGTCCTGTACGGTAAGTGCCTTCCCTCCTAGTTTGAATATTTCCTTTTGCAGGGGGTCCCTGAGGCTGCAGCAGCTGCTGTGCCTGATATTCCTTGTGCTGGTGGCTTGGGGAGTGTCAGTGTGTCCTTGGTCGTGGCTCTGTGCTGAGGTTCGTGCTCTGCAGGGAGCAGAGCTGGTGTTCACAGTGCCAGGAGTGACCTGTGGATAATGTGACACTGGGGGGTTCTTACTGCTGGGGCCACCATGAGAGCCTGAGGCAGCGAGCCAGCTTTTTACCTTGGCTTGGATTGCCCCAAAACTGAGCTAGGACACAAAAACTCACAGAAAAGCTGAGGAGAATGCTCATTGTTCATGAGCTACTCAGCTCTAAGCCAGGTCAGGATTTGTCCTTGAGCTCCCACTGCTAAGATCAGCGGGATTTGAGCAAAAGTGTGGATCAGAAAGGAGGTTTGCACGAGTAGATTTGGCATTCAGATAAAAGCCTTCACTCCTGGCATTTGTACCTCAGCTTGCCTTGTGTCTTTCAGGGGGTCATTGTGCCTCTCTGTGCCTCAGTTTCCCTGTCTCTAACCTGAGGGTATGCTCTGGTTTAAAGCACCCAGAGGCCTGCCTGTACAGGTGTGAGCACTTATTTCTCCCCATGCCAGGGTCAGTGTGTTTGCAATGCAGTGGGGCCTCACTCCTGCACTCAGGTGTGGAGCCACTGTTAGCACTTCAAAGAAGTAAAATATCAAACACATCTAACTTTCATCTGGCTCAGACTCCAGATCCCTTTGTTCAGTGTGGTGCTAGGAGTCTCCATCCCTGGTGTTTCAAAGGAGTATTTTGTTCTCCTCTGTATCTCTGATCATCATGTTTGTATACTCTTGTGTCAATTTTATAATCTGTGTATTTCATAGATAAAACTTTAAGTTTTTGAAGTCTGTTTTCAGATTTTCTTAGAAAGGTATTTTAATATTGATATTTCTTGGAAACAAATAATGCTGTTTACTTACAAATTTGATTAGAAATTGGTTTACTGTCCTATAAAGTAAAATGTAGGGATATTTATCTGACTTCTTCACTTGCCTAAATGAGTAAGTCTGGCAGAGATTAATTTCTAAAACACATTGATCAAGCATACATCATTCCAAAGCTTATATAACTTGTCTACAGTGAGTTAAATCAATATGTGATTTAGGTACAGGCCTAGCTATGGAGATCTTATGCACAAAGATCTTTTATTTTGAACTGTCAGAATAGTTCTATCTCTAAATCTTGTGTGTATTACAACATGTGTATTTTATTTTTAGCATTTTACTCCAGCTCCCTGGAGCTTGAAAAGGAGCATATAAATACTGAATTATGTGACAGACCTGCACTTGCATAAATTCTCTGTTAGCCAGTGACTCTAAAAAGGTGAATTTATGGAAGTGGTCTTCCTACATCCATACTTTCAAGGTCTTTGGAAACTAATAGAAATGGATTTTCTGTTCTGACTAGAAAATGATTACTTAAGGTAGTTTAAAGGTGTAAAGCATGCCACCCTTTTAGCAGCAAGGAAATATCACTGATTTCAAGAGGCATTGTAATTATCCTCTTTTTTTTGCCAGAGAACCAGCACTGGCTGTTGATAGCCCAAACATTTCTCCACAGACAAACAGTACAATGTAGGTTTTTTGGCAAAAATCACAATTTCATGGAAGATTTGTGGAAATACTTTGAGAAATGAGGAGGCTTCTGAGGCAGTGCTGGGGCAGGCTGCTGGACCAAAGTGTGTTGCCTCCAGGCTTTGTTAGGGGAGGAGGAGGAAAAGTTCCACTGGGGGAAACACTTTGAGAAATGAGGAGGCTGCTGGGGCAGTACTGGGTGCTGGACCTAAGTGTGTTGCCTCCAGGCTTTGTGAGGGGAGGAGGAGGAAAAGTTCCACTGGGGGAAAAATGAGCCTCAAAGGAACTTGTGGATTGATCTCAGTAGAACTCCAGTGAAATAATTTTTTTAATAGTATTTAAGCTACAAATTGTGGAAGGACATCACCAGAATTCTTGTGAGAATAACATGGGTGCATGGCCATGGACTGAGCAGGGAGAGGGTTAGTGCTTGGAAACATCACTGTGAATGTTCAGTCACTTTTACTCTGTTTATCTGACCTTTTTAATTCCATGCAGTCTACATAATTGTACACTGGGCTGTTTCAAAGGCTGCCGTGTGCTGTACTGAGAAGTGTATGCAGCACATCTCTTCCAGATTTGTAGAAGTCACTTTTAATTTATGTAATCAGAAAGGAACCTTAAAAAAATACATATAACAAATATAGGAGTGAAGAAATTACTTTCAAGTTTCCACATCAGCTCTCTCAGCCCCAAAGATAAATTCTAGTTGACAGAGTAACTAATTTCAGAGTAGGTTCATTTCCTTACTTTTGGCTAATAAGGTAAATGAAGTAGATTTCACTTCAAGCATAACCAGAAAATTGAATAGACACCCTCCACAAATACTTCTGGTTTTTGGTGGTTTTCTTAATTAAAAGAAGGGAAAATCAAGTTTCAAATTAATTCAAGAATCTTATTATAAAGGAAAGGACAGCAGGATGCAGCATGATGGATTTTTCACCAATTAATCAGGGCTTGGATATATTTATCAATTAGTCTTAAGTGTCTTACAGTAATCGATGAGTTGCATTTGACAACTGAGAACATTTTCCCTGGCATGCAGTTCCTAAAGAAGTAAGCAAATTAGTCTGCTAATTAATAAGCATGTATTGGGGAGGGTAAATGAGAAATGTACACAGCGTTTCATCTCAATGAAGAAATGCCTGATTAATTAAAAATACTGGTATTTTATAAGAATACTGATAGGGCATCAGGTATCTCACACATGATGGAGGTTCAGAGGGCAGGTGGAGGTTGTCTCCTCACCTCTGAGCACTCAGGGACAAGCAGCAGTGGGTTTACATCTTGTCATGTGTTTATGAGCAGGAAAGAGGGCTGGTGGAGGAACACAAGAGAATCCCCTCAGCTGATCTGAGCTGCAGAGGATATTCAGCTTTCTGGGTTCTTGCAGAAGGTTCACAGCTGCCAACACAAGTTGCCAGAGCGTGGCCAAGGAGTGGCCAGCAGACCCCTGTGTACCCCCAGTGCAGGCTCTCCCTTCCCCTCGCGGAGCCAGGGGCTGAGGCAGCTCCCAGGGGGCTGGTGTTGGATGCAGCATTCATCAGCCCCAGCTGCCAGAGCAGATTTACACCCACAGCATTGTTATTATTGATAATTACCATCATTATGGTGTGGTGACAGAGATGTGCTGAGCACTTGGGCACACTTTGATGCTGGTTTCCCTGCAGAGGGGGAGCAGTGCAGCTCAGCTCTGTGATGTGACATTCAGGTATCTGGAAATGATCAGGCATTTAAAACACCACATCAAGCCATGGGCTTAAATGCATCTTGACTACACTGAGTTCCAGCTGACAGTTGAATTGCTTTCAGAAATTATTATTTATTCCTGTTAGCTTTAAATCTGTAATGTTTCTGTTTGTGCTGAGCAACCACTACATTTTATTCTTCTGCTAGGGTGTGACTGAATGGAAACTCCTACACTGCTTGCACTATCTGTGTCATAAATTCAGAGAGGGGATTATTTTTTTTTCTCCAATGACACCTTATACCTGGGGTGTGTGCATTGAAATTTATATCCAGCAGGAAGTGTGAGTTTATCTTTTGCTATCAGTAGGATCCATAGGCTGCTACACTCTGTGCTCACCCAGCAGCATTTATTCTCTTTTCAAGTCCCTAAGCTTTCCTGTCCCTCAGCTAACCTAAATAATTCTGTGAAATCTGAAATCCTACTACATCATTATTTACCCTCTTTCCAGATTATTAGATTCATAGGAAACTTTAGCAGAGATATTGAGTGTCCTGCTACTGAATTTTCTCCACATGAACAACAGCCTGTTTACCTGATGTGACAAATGGGATTAAGTTCTGGTGTATCTCTGTTGCTGTTGGGGAAGAAAGCTCTGTATGATGTGCCCTGAATCCATGGAATAGCTTCTTTGCTGCTACCCAAGGTTTAAATTGTGCTTAGAGTGAGAGGAAGGGGGGAATACTAAATGATACTTTCTGTATCTCATTGAATATGGGTCCCTGGTTGTAAAATATCTTGAGGCAGCTAAATGTTAATTTGCAGGATTTTTCAGAGCCTTTGAAAATGTGGCACCCTGTTGCAGTTCGTTTGGGGCTCCCCGGGGTCCCCCTAAGCTGTGAGTGCACTGGCAGCAGCAGGCAGGCAAGGAGACTCCACACGGCTTCTGAGGGTGCTGATTGATGAGGGTTTATTGGGGTCCCACCCCCAGGAGCAGCATGGTGACTGAGGGGGAAGGGGAAAGGGGGAGAGCCTGGGGGAGAGAAGGGCCAAGAGGGAGCCTGGTCTCCCTCACACAGCTTGACAGGGAGATCAAGGTGGGCACAGAGTAAGACTTGGGCCAATGGGATTACAGATCCTTCGGGGAGGATCACAGCTTGGGATAAACTGTACATTCTGGAGGGGTGAGACAGAGCACAGCATTTAACTGAAATGTAACACCACAGCACCCTATGATAATTCTCTGCTGGAAACAGCACTAGGAACCTGCACAGCCCTGGCTTGCACTGGTGGCTTCTGGTCAAGGAGAGCCAAAGGCTGAAGGGCTGAAATCAGCACTGGAGAGGGTGATGATACCTGTCAAGAGGAGAGAGTGCTGCTCCACACCCTTTCTCAGCAGTGATTTAATCTATTAAACCTATATTTTCATCACCCTCTTCAAAAACATTTGACTCAGAGCTTTTAATTGTCATAGTGAAAGCTGGATTTGCTCCACACACATAAATTTCCTCTTAATTTCAGTTTTGATTTTGTCTGAAATTATCTACACTTTATATCTGCCTTTTTATCTAGTTTATTTAATTTTTTTGTTTTGTTTTGTTATACTTTTAATGTTGGACAATAAAGACTGGAAACCAGATGAGTGAGGAAAGTGTCATTATCTGAGGAGTACAA